GAGTATCTGTGGTAGGAAAGAATTTATACACAATTTTTTGATTGGATTGAATAGGGAATCCTAATTCTTATCTGACTTCTGTTTTCCTCTAATTGTGGTCCAAACACAAGTCAGCTGTATGTGGTGTTCATATGTGTTAGTTTTGTACAAATATCCCATGCACTGAGAGGAGATTAATGCAGAAAAAATATCCAGTCAAATAATGTGAGACCTTGTTGTGGTACCTAAAGCTTAAGATGGACCTATTTAGAAGCGAACTGGAGAAAAAAGAACCACAGAAATTTGAATAGAAATGATTTTCATGACTTTCCAGGTAATTGGCAACTGGGCTGGAGCACCGTAGACCTGTGTTGCCTGAGTAAAAACTAATTTGTGGCAGTATTTGGCTGAAAATGTGGACGACCAGTTGAAAAAAACTCGAGTTACAGTCTGGAGCACTTCACTATTTTAGCTTGAAGTTTTGGCATACAGACAGTTGGAGTTTGAATGTGTCTTGGCTAAAGATGCTTGATCTAATTCTGATATCCTGTTTAGTTCTTGGCCATCTCTTTCTGCATGTATGTGATCCTTGTTTAAGTTTTCTGTCCTCTTCATACAAGTTAAGCTGCTCCTTATCTTCCCTGTCTGCTGGAGGAGGATGTGAGAAAAAATGTGTTTCAGTGGTTTGGATAATGAAAATTATTGCTAAGCTTTTCTAAAAGACTCTGTTGACAGCCAGATTTCATCAGTAAAGGTCCTTCTTTGTGGACCCTAACATTCATCCATGAAATATTCTTCATCCATGTAAAGGGCAAAGATGAATGATGACTTCCTTGCTCTTCCATTACCATCTACCTCAGTGACATGAAATAACTGCATGCTGGTTTTCACAACTTGATACAAATGTTGTTCTAGATTAAATTCTGTGATTGAAAATATTATTTACAGTTCTGTCCTATGGTTTATTATTTATCACCTCTAACACTGCATAGAAAGAAGCCTTTGCCTTGTACCTCTACACAAGCAATCGAGACACTTCGGAGACTAAATAAAAGTGGAATAGACTTTTCTTAAAATTCCCTCTAACCAAGCAGAAGGTAGTTCACCCACATTTTATGAAGTTACTGTATGACAAATGCAATATTCGTGTGTGACTACATATGGAATGGGAGATTATTTTTTAGTGGCAAAAAAAATCCTGCTTGGAAAAGGATAATTCCATGACATATGCAAATGTATATGAATGGATGGTTCCTCTTCCTAATCTTCTTGGGTTTTAAATATAAAATTTATAAATATGTATTTAAAATATATATTCTAAAATATAATATAAATTTCAAAATACTTCAATGTGCTTGACCAAAATGCTGGGCATCCAACAGAGATCATAATGCTGGTCCAGAAGTAAATAGAATAAATCATCTTCTATTTGAAATGTTTCCTGCAGTTTTACTTCTGTTGTATTGTCTCAGGACTGTGTCTAGAGTAGCATTTCTTAGTTGCGTCACTGCAGGAAAGCCAAATCTTAAGTGGTCATGTTGCACACAAGCTGTCTTATCCTAAATTTATTTTTGGTCAATTTGGCAAATGGGTATTGCTGCATTTATACTGTCCTATACAGTTGCTTGTGGTTTCTCTGTATATTTAAAACAAATAGTTATACTTACAAGTATTACTTGCATTGCTTTGCAATGCTTACATTCTGTTGGCATGTGCTGACGTTTCTATAGGGATGGTTTGTACAAATGTAAGTGATTAGTATATGTGTAGGTTTGGAGCTGAGAACCACATAACAGATTTGAAAGCAATGTGGAAAATGCAATAAGCGTACTTCCTTGAACGCTTTAACTGCCTTTGTTATTAGCCCACCTGTACAGAGAATTATAATACTATTATTTTATAATGTTATTTTAAATAACATAGTGGTTTAGAGTGAATTTCAGAAATATTTCCATTCATTTCCCAGACATATTATATCTTCTTAAAGACCAAGATAAACATAGTGGTTTTGTTGTTTTATGACTGTGTCTTGTTTTGAGAATGTCTATGGCTAACTATCAGCACTGCAACTTTCATTTTAGCAGCTGCTACAAAAGCATGATAGTTTAAATAAAACAACTGTTCTGAAAAAACTTTCACATAAAGTACATTGATTGTGTTTATGTAATTGCTCTTGGCATCAGCTTAAGTAAATTTAAGTAAAAATTCATCTATAACTTTCTCAATCCACTTGAACCTTGATCTGCTTTGGTGTAGTGTTCTGGGGTTGGTAAAGATGCTTTATGATTGGAGTCTGTAACCCCAAATGGGATTACACCACCTTCTTCTGATTCAGAATTTCCTGCTGTTGCAATATGTGTTGTTTCACAGAAATGAGGAGTAATTCCCTCTCTGGTGCTCATGTTGAGATTATTGCCAGGGAACAGCGTTAGTCAAGTATTCTTTCACTGCTAAAGACAAGGCGTCGCTTCTATTGTAAACTTGGTTCTCTCTCAATGAGTTCACAAACTTGTTCTAAATCATTCACTTCAGCTTGAATCTCTGTTTCCCAGGAGAGTAATAGTTACCTTCTTAAAACCAATTTCTGCTTTAAAAAGAAACAAAGCACAGTTAATTTGAAGTTGTGGGATAGACATCCTTTATATCACAGACAATTATACTTTCACTCAGAGCCTTTTCTGCTCTTTTAAAAAAATTGTTATTTGCAAATTCCTTATTGAGTGGGTAGTAATAAGTCTACATCAGTGGTGCAAAGTGTGCACAGTGTGGTGTTTGAGCTGTGCTCCATAGGCAGGTCGCAGTGGAGCTGCACGTGCATCCCAGGCTCTCAAAGCAGAGGTCATTCATGCATTGCCCTCACCACCTGCAAGTGTATGTGTGTGTGTGTATGGGCTTAGTCCTCCCTTATAAGAAAACAAAAAGAGCAAGGAGTACCACAGTGAGCATTTCTTTTCTGCTCTCATTTCAGAAAGATTTCTACATCCAAAGCTGGCATGGCTTTTCTTAGATTATCTGGTTTCAAGCTTTGCTGCTACTGCAGCAGGGGGCTACCGCAGGTTAAGTACTTCTACAACAAGGCAGCAGCTCTGGAAAACGTGCTGTTTGCCGTCTTTCACAATGGGCCTGGGAGGATCATGACATTAAACTGCAGGAATACCTCCTGAGTAAATCTGAAGTTTTTACAGAGGGGCCTACTGTCCAAATTTAAGCACTTTTGAAGGAGGGGAAGTTTTGAAATAAAGGCTGCAGCGTGTCTGTCTACTACCAAGAGAATCAGTCTGTGCTGGACAGAAAGAACATGTTGAGTTAAGGCTGGATAAGCAGAAAAGAGAGTTGAAACATCTGAGAAGGAAAGAGTAAGCTACTCTTCAGGTTTTAATTGCAAGCTTTTCTGTCTTCTAAGGCATGATAATTCTGCTTTTTATAATACACAAATTTATAAACACTTCATATTGTATTTTCTAAATTTAAAGTGTTTTGATGCATTCTGGTTGGATATATGACAATACAATAGATATGGCTAGTAATTTTATCATGGCCTTGTTTAATACAAAGGGACCTTTTAGTTGTGTTACCTGCGTTCATGTTTGGTTGGATGAAAAAACATGGTTCTTTGATGAGCACTTGATGCTTTTTGTCTTGCCATGATCTGTTTGTCAATTATTTTTAATAATGAGATTTCTCTCATGTGAAGGGGAAAAAATAGATATTCATGGGCCCCAAGTTAGTACCATGCACTGTTACCTGCACACTTGACAGCATAGGCTTTCACCCTTCAGGGGTGATAATAGAAAAAACTCATTATGTTCTCATTTTCAGTGCTAGAGTAACTGTCCTGTGATGAATAGAAGCTGAGATAATATGCCAGGAGATCCTCATCCTTTAGGGAGAAGAAGGTGGCAGGAGGAATGAGTATTTTTCACTTTTTTCTAGATCCCACAATTCTGAGACCTTCTTAACATCAGCCAACCAGAGAGTGGGAAGCATTCCTTCATGCATGGCCAGTTCTGGGCAGGACACAGGTGGATGCTCCAGAGTTTCCTCAGTTTTCCCTCAGTGCTGAGCTGTCATAGGTTGGACGCTTCCACTTCCACCTTATCCCAAGGGCACTGTTTACTGGTACAAGTTCTTCAAAGATTCCTGGGGCACCTCAGTGGCTCCCTGCTCTTGTTTTTGTCCTATTGCATCATTTTACCACACTGCCTGCTCAGCTCAGAGTTCTGCTTGACCTCTCCATTGCAACCATAGATCCATCAGCCCTTCAGCTTCAAGTCCAGTTAGGGAACTGTCTCACTTCTGGTATTGGTCTGATGCTGCTTGTTGACCTTTGAAGAGTTCAGATCTGAAAGCAGGTGTTTCTGGAGATGAGTACACTATTATACTCTACTGTAGCCACAGAACTTTCTTTGCAGAAAACCCATCTGGGACGTGCTACCATGTTGTTTTTAATTTAAAATATCCTTATGACTAATGGAACTATAAACTACCTTGTCGCTGTTGTGGCACATAGGGGATCCAGTAATAAATTAGAGGTCCTCTGTGACAAGTACCATTGATACATAATAAAACAACAACCTCTGTCTGGGAATACTTCAGTCTAAGTCTGTGTTTCTTCCTTATGAAACCAAAAATAGGGTTAATTGAATTTTATGCCTAAGGGCTTAAACAGCTGAAATATGAAAGAAACTTTCACCATTCTGCAATGTAGTAGTCCTGTACCTCTGGAAAGCATGTGCTTTGTTAATGTACAAGACAAAACCTTTCATTTAAACATTTCTCACAGCATATCTAGTTTGATTTAGGCAGTGGTTTGAAGCAGTAGGATGCATTTGCTCATCCCAGATTTATATTCACTGACTAGAGAACAATGTTTTAGTTTTATTTGAAATGTTCCTTCCTCCCGTTCTAAACTAAAAAGCCAAATTTATGACAAAAGCTTTAAAATGCTTAAATGCGGAACTAACTTTTCTGATGGAGTGTTTTCATGTAGATAAGTCTTCTCATAATTGCTTTTCCAGATTGTATTGGTCAGTGGACATCTGGACAGCTGGGATGTTGGGCAGGGAGCTATGGATGATGGTGGTGGAGCATTTATATCATGGGAAGCATTATCACTCATTAAAGATCTGGGTAAATATTTAATTTTAAAATATTTTTAATGCATTACATTTCCAGGACATTTTGTGTGTTGTCTAAAATGGATTTTCTATTTTATCCATTCCTCTGAGCACAAATATTCATACTTAGTATAAATATTTTGGAAGTTTGTCTATTAAACTCCTTTCATCACAAGAGTCATCCAAAATAAACACATCAGTCAATGATCTAGAAGGTACTTTGTGTCTGCATGGTCACCGTCATCACAGAATGAAAGTTCAGTCTAAGGTATAATATATAGGTACCTTAGAAGGAAGTCACTCCTTTTCATTTTGTCTTAATAAGTTCTTCCCTATTAATGAAGATGAAGCTTCACGAAGTCACAGATAGCTTTCTGATATAGTTCTCTTCCTTTTAAGCAAACGTTGTCATTTAACAAATTCCTAAATCTTTCACTATCTTACATGTTGCTTTTACAGCAGCTACTCAGTTAATTTAATTCCCAGCCCCTTACCTTGCTCTTGATAACTTCTCAAGACAATTTCATCAAAGTCTCTCTCAAGGGAACTGGATCCAGGCAGTGATCCTGCCTCTGGTCTTTTCCCTTTCATCTACATGTAAAGATATTCAGCAAAAATTGTTCTAAACTTCGCAGAAGTTCGTATTTCCAATGTATGTATTTCAGTGGTTTTATTTTTTCCTTGAATTTTCTTCCTAAATAAATTGATATCCTGCCTGGACTTGTTCCACCGAATATTGATAGATATATCTGTACCATCAAACTGTGTGTTCTCAGCTTTGCACTTGAGGACCGGTTTCCTGATTTTGCTGCTTTTATGTTGCTGTGTGCTTGGGCTCTGCTTTGGACTGTGACAGCTGATTTCCTTGGTAATGGTAATCCAGGTCAGACACACTTGAGTCTCATCACTACAAGGATATAATTCTGTCAAATTTGGCTTAACCATGGTGACCTGTCAAATATTGTGGGCTCATATGTCTTGTCAAGCAACTTTTGACACTGAGGCCTTGCACACTGTAGTATCCTGCTGCAGTAGGTTTGTGGACTGCACAGCAATGTTCTGTTTCCAGGAATCACTTCTTTGAATGGTTCTTGGTAATCTTCAGGGTGACAAGGTGACTGGGTTCTGGAATTTGGTCTGTAGATCAGCTGGACTCTTCTGAAGTTGATATTCTAGCTATCACAGGCTGTCAACCCTGGACTTGCTGGTCTCTCTCCTCCAGAATTTCTGCTCAGCAGAAGTGTGATTTGAACTAAACCGCCATGCTGTCAATGCTAAATGTAGATAAAGAAGGAAAGAGGAAAAGGCAGCTTCTAGCCTGGATATGTCTGTTCCAGTAGTGCTATGATAAAATACCAGTGTGGATTTGCTCAGCCTACTGCCTGCTGGTTTGCATAGACCCCTTGTGTGGGAACTGAAAGGCAAATTTCTACTCATGGGCTTCATCCGGCTTGTGGGTAGAAGTGGGCTGCAGACAGTGTGTCATTGTAGAAGGGCATGGTCTACATATGCCTGCGTAGGGTGTGTTTGGTGGGAGAGGTGATCCACAAGGTGAGATGAGATAGGGCCGGTGTGTGAGCAGGAGGGAGCTATGGTTGCACAGTCATCCTCCTGTGTTCTCCACACACCCAGCCTCTCAAAATTTGGTCTGGTGTCCTGCCGTTCCCAGTCTGCCATGGCCTAGTCTGCTATCTGGTCTCCAAACTGCAAATTCCAGTCTTACTGCTTGATCTATAGATTTTTGCTGCGTTTACTTCCATATGGGCTTTTGTCACTATACCTCTCAAAACTGGTTCAAAACAGACTATTTAGATTGTCAAGTTGGTATCTAAGGATGCTTTTACCCCTTCATCAGATGGAATCTATTTTTCCTCATTATTCCCTTTTTCCAGAACTGTAACCTGTGGTTAAGAGGAATGCAGCACATATCCATTAAAAACTAAAATCAGCTGCTGGTCCTGCTCTTAGGTCTGGCAGAGTTTAAATAATAAACTAGCTTTCCCTGCTTCTGATCTGAAGGATTTGTGCACTTGAACAATCTCAGTGTTTCTTGAAGAGCTCTTTGTAGGTAAGCTCTGTTGTGTGATTTGCCACTCTCGCATTGTAGTGGTGAACATCGGACATCCCTGTGAATTCCTGTTCCTTTATTTTGCATTATTTGAACCTCTTATCTCTCATTTTCCCAGCCTCAGAATGATTGGAATATCAGTCTGTGACTGAAAACAAAGTGCATCTGTTTTAATTTTTGGTCTTTTAAAAGTAAACTAAAGAGAATTCTTTTACAGAAGAATCCAGGCCAACTCCTTCTTTTAGTGGTTTTTAGTCTTTCTTTTGTGATTCTTGGAAAATTGTCTATACTCCCTTCACCTTCATGAAAAAAAAAAAAAAAGCTTCTGTGTTTTCTGACTGTTCCAATCAGAATAAACTGTTTTGTGTCTCTTAAGGGCAAGTTCATGGTGGCATTGTATAATTCTTACTCACTGGGTTTCCCTTCACGCATGATGAAATGCATCATTCTCTGCTTGTTCAAATATTTGATTTCCTCTCGTAGTAGCCTGTGTGTTTGCTGTACAACCTGTGGTGAAATGCTGTTTTCTCAGCTGGGAAATGCCGGAGCCTTTGCTGATGCCCTCTGTTCTGGCCAGCTGTTGTGTTCAGCTCTTCTTGTTATACCAGTGTTCTGCAGGAACGTGAGGCTGGGAGAGGACTTCTGGGTCATCACATCTAACCCGTAGATATCCACAGGGCCTTTCATAAACTGTCTTCCATAGCAGATTGGTTAGTGCAGATTTTATATCTTATAATGCACATAAAATCTGACAAAAAAGGACAACAAAATAACAGATGTGCAGATTGTGTGAGAAACAAATGAATGAGGTTTATTTAAAATCAATTCCATAGATTGTGTTTTGTGTGAGCATTATATTTTGAACTATGGAGACTTGGTTTAGTATCCTTTTGGACCCTGATAAATTTAGTCTCAGTCTAGTTCACCAAACAGATTTGACATGGGGATAAGCCTACTCAGCTGGCTTGTCTGTATGCACATGCACAATTTTTTTACTGTGTACTGGGAGTCTTAAAGCCATGGTGCGTTATGTAGCCATAAAAACTGGGCCTGAGTTTAGCAGCGTATAAGTGACCTTACAGCTATGGTGATATGATCTTCAAGCTGAAGCAGGCATTCTGAAATATGAATTCTAGAATATGAAGTTTGTACCGTGTAGTAAGAAATACTGTCACTAGTTCTGCCATGGTCCATTGGTTCCATTAAAGCAAGATATTATTATGCTGTTTAAGCAGTTTTTTCAGTGATGATCTAATAGCACTTCATCATGATTTCACTGTGACCTTTGGACGTGGCTGGTGGACACAAGTTATACCTGTTAATTAGGATTTTGATAATTCCATGTAGTACTTGAAGAATGATTATAGTTCGAATACCATTCTGTACTTTCAATATAACCTCCTCCCCAAACCATTTCATAGCTATTGGCTTAGGACCAAATACATGAAATTCATTGAAAAAACATTAAGTTTGTGGTTTAAGATGGTTATATTTTATTTTAAGCAGTGCAGTTTGTTTTCTTGCCTCAAGTTAAGTTTTTTAACAGTTTTTGCTTTTATTTCTAAGTAGGTCAGTTACTTAATGTGTTAGCCTTTGTATTCCCTGAATCTTCAGTGTTAGATTTTTTTTTTTTTTTTTAATTAAAATTGCATTTTCTGTACCGTTTTGATATATTTTTTCTTTCTGGTGTTTTTGTAGAATTTCAGACACCATAATAGTTACGTGTTCTCTACAGCAGCACAATCTGAAGTAGTTTTACACAGTCTTCAAAACTTCAAACATTTGGTTGGGTTTTTTTTTTCCATTTCACTTTTTGACTTCACATGAATGTTGTTTATTTTTGAGAGAAAGGGAACTACATGAAGGTCCGACTGAACTGAAATAATGTTGTATTATATTGTTACAGAGTGGAATAAAAAGATTTATTTAATGTAAAATCCCATGTATACGTTTCAAAAGAGTAGTACCTCAAAAACATAGGGACACTGGTTGTAGACATCTCCTTACTGGAGTAAACAGAAGTGTTTTCCTTAGTGCACCCGTATAAAGTTCTCCATATCAACTATACTCTCATGGATGCTTGCTTTGCTGGTAGATAATCTCAGAAAAATTCACCAACTAGTGGCCATATTGACTAGTGTTATCAAAAGGGTCTTTTCCCCTGGTTAACGCTGAAGTTTAATGAAACATAAAGGAAAGAAAACCAGATTTTTTTTCCCCTGAAACTCTTGAAGCTTATATACACCGCCGATTGGCAAGATCTGTGGCGAGCTCCTTCATGGCTTATGTGCTTAAAAAATGAACAACTGGAAGTGTTTCCACAGAAGTTGTTTATGTGAAGAAAGATGAAAGTTTCAGCCAGTTATTGCTCTTTATTCCTTTTTCTGGGAATAAAGATGTCTTTAGAGGCACTGAGGCAGTTCATGAGCTGGTCTAAACTGGTAAACTCCCTCTCCTTCAGTGAAGCTGGGGCTGTTGTGATTAGCTGAGGATTTCTGATGCTTAAGAAATTACCCTTCATAACTGCAGGCAGGGTGTCTGAGGCAGTAAGCTTGTGCAATGTGCAGTTCGCCTGCAGCTGTGTCTGGCAGCTGCCGCCCTCCCCAGTCCTCTGTAGTTTTTAACCTTTTGATCGATTTAAACTAAATTTTATAGAGGCACAGAAATATTTAGAATATGAAGTTCTGATAAGTTCTTTGCAAATGAGTGATTGAGGAGAGATGGGTGAGTGTATTTATGTGCCAGCTGAAGGAGAGGCAGGAAGAAACTCTACTTTTTTCCTTTCCCTGTGATGATGAACGCCTGGTTGATCAGCACACGTGTAGCTTTGGTGTAAGCACCAGAACCTCTTTCTTTTTAATCTGTCTGCAAACCCTGTGTGATAGGTGGCAAATACTGTTATGGCAGTAGTGTCAGTGTTGTTTGGAGTAATTTAGAGACTATGG